CCTCACAGAAAAAATGGGTAATGACATTGGGGCCACAGAAATTTAACCGTAGCATCAGCCCTGTGTGGATGGCCGTGTTGAAGGCACAGAGCACCCATACACCTGTAGCCAGCTTGCAGCAGAATGCCTTGCTCATTGTGGTGCTGTAATGCAGAGGATGGCAGATGGCTGCGTACCGGTCATAGGCCATGACCGTGAGGAGCAGCAGCTCAGAGGATGCAGACCATGTGAGGAAACAGAGCTGGGCCATGCAGCCCCAGTAAGAGATGGAGCTGTCCTTTGACAGCAGACCCTCCAGCGCTTTGGGCATGATGGAAGAGGTGCAGATAATATCCATAGTAGCCAAGTTGAACAGAAAAAAGTACATGGGGGTATGAAGCCCAGGGTTGAAAGTGATGGCCAAAATGATGAGGATATTACCTATGAGAGCCACAGAGTAGAGGGAGAGGAAACAGCTGAATAAGAGCACATGGTATTCTGGCTGTTCAGAAAAGCCCTGCAGGATAAATTCTGTTACTAGTGTCTGGTTATTCATGGTTCTTGGGCTGAGAGGGGTTTCCAGGACTATCAGGTGAATCTCTACCCACAGCTTCATGTGATTTCTGGGCTAGAGAGAGAAATGAGAGGTATTCTAAAGCAGGCTGCTATCGTTTCATTCACACCTGACACAATGCCATGAACAATATTATACAGATATACTGGGATTTATAAAGGAAGAGAAACATGTCAATAGGACATCAGGCAAAGGGCATGAACATTTAGCTCATAAAAACTAAGTATAAATGGCCAATTAAATTCATAAAGCGTCATTCAACCTCAAAGAAATGCAAGTTAAATCAACAATCCAATCTTTATGAACCATGATTTGGCAAAGTTTGAAAAGCCTGGTTTTGACGAACAATAGGATGGGTGCCAAGAGGCAGGCCTTTTCAAATTCATACTCAATATGAGCCAGAACCTCCACTTCTAGGAATTTAGCCTAAGGAAATAATTAAGAGCATCTTCAAGGTGTCATCACAGCATTATTTATAATACTGAAAATGCAAAAGCAACTATACTTTTAAAGGTCAGTGTATTATGATGTATTAATATAGCGTAATGCTCTATACCTATCAAAATGATGCTTTAGAAGGGTTTTACTGATGCTTATAAAAATAGAATGAAGAAAATACAAAAGTAAAAAGAAATAAAATTCAAAACTAGTGTATACAAAGGGATCTCATTTTAAGAAAAAAAGCTTATGTTTGTATATACACCTGGAGAAAAAAACAACAGGTGAATGACAGTACAGAATTTGAATAGTGGGGATAAATTGTACTTGATTTCATTTCTTTGCCTTTGCTTCTCTGTATTTTTTTATTTTTCCATTTAATAACCTTTCTAAAAGTCAGGTCTGACAAAATAAATGCCCCCAGCTGGTATCTTGGATCCACCTCCTCTCCAGACATTGTCTTCCCTCTCATCTCACTCCTCAAAGCCAAAGCTCCAGCCACACCCAGGACCCCCCAGTCTGGCCAGATTTTGTGGCTTTGTTCTTGCAGCTCCCTCAGCCAGAAATGCTCTCTTTCTCATGAACCAGGTCTATCATCATCTCCAACCTTTTCTAACATCCCTTCCCTAGAGATAAAGATAAAGCTCTCTCCTTTGTGATCCCTCAGGATTCCGTACTGACTTCTATCCTAGAACCCATTGCACATCACTTCACGGTATGGTCCTCTAAGACTGAGGCATTTGCCTCATTCATCTCTGAACACCACTTTGTCTCTAGATATGCATGTTGAAATAATAGTAAGAAACAGTCCAGTAGCAATAAAAGCAGAGTGATTTCTATTCTCAACACAGTGCACATTCTGTATTAAGATGAAATCAGCATGGTACCACATTTGCTTTTCCCTTCTTTTCAACTCTCTATTCATTAAAAGGGTTCATTTAAGGAAGATGCTCATTTTCAATTAAGAATTCTGTTTTTTGTCAAACTTCAATAAATATATTTGCCACTGAAGTGTTAAAAGGTTTATACAAGAAGACTAAATACCTACAATCAAGTCATGTCACCACTTTGTAAGGTGAAGATGATTCTTTGAATAGAAGAGCATAAAATCTCTCTGACTCAGAGCAATAGGCTGTTTTAGTATAAATTCTGTTCAAAGCTGATGCAAATGACAGAACTCCATCTGCATCTTCCCAGCAGCAAGTTATCAGGTCAGCCCCATCACATTGCCGGAGATAACAAATGCAATATGTTTTAACTTATTTCATATATGTTTGGGACAAAACTAGTGAATGTTATTTTTGTACAGCTCGGGTTGGAGATCTGGAGATTTTATTTGCTCTCCTGGAACTTTACTGGCTCCTCAACATAGTCTGATGGGTGACTCCTGTTTAACTCCAGAGACCACTGTGAGACTGAAAAGCTGAAGCAGGCTGAAAAGGGACAGAGTTGGATTTGCCCCATGGATGCCCCCCTGTAAGGTTTCTCCACTTACCGCTGATTTCCTCCCTAGGATTCTAACCACCTGACACCCCCCAGTCATCCCTCACAGTCCACTCCACAACACAGATTATAAGCCAGAGACTCTTAAGGCTGTAGCCACACCTAAGAGGAGACAGACACCTCCATCACCAAACACTGAGCAGCAGTGTGTGGGTCGATCACACAGCATGACTGGAGTACCAAAAGAAACTATTAGGAAAGAAACCTTATAACCAGTCTTTCTCTTAACTCCAGAGTGAGGACAGAAAAATAAATAACTGAAACCTAAATGGAAGTTTTGAACAGGTGCTCAGCACAAGGAAGTGTCAACAAACTGATTCACATTCAGGGAACAAATTTCCCCCTGATAATTACCCTCTCACTATAATTTCCACGGCAGGTGGACAGTCTCCTCATCCAATTGGTCAACAGGAAGATCAAAGAATTTGGAAGCCAAGATTCTTTCTGTGAGAATGACCATAAATCTCTGTTGGACTTCAGCCAGTCACTTCCTCTTCTGAAAATAACAAAAAA